CTGAGGTTCATCTGCCGGGGCCAAGCACGCTTGGACGGTGGCAGCGAGGTCCTCAGGACGTAGATGGATTGCCTTATGGGCTAACGAGCTCCATCTGCCCGGGGAGGGGCCCCGACCGGGAATCGAACCCGGGTCTCTGCAGTGACAGTGCAGTGAATTTTCCCCTGGACCACCGGGGGCTCCCATATATAACTGTATAGTTTTATAGGATATTGCTATTAATTCCTGTACTAGTTTACCAAGCAACAGAACACCTTTGATTATTCCTAGAAGATAGATGTGTTTTTAAGAAGAAATTGTGCAAACTACAGCCTCTTAAATGAAAAGATATCCTTGAGAAATACCCATCAATTAACAGACTGAAAATAAAGAAGTAAATAAAAAAGGCCAACTGAGGAGGGATTATGTAACACAACATTCCATCTCTTCTCATGATCACCTGATGTTCTACTTCTTGAAGCAGAGTTTCCAGAAGTTCAGTTTCTTGAGTAAGCGATGTCTTTTGACCTGTTTAAAGAAAAGACATGTTTAAAGAAAAACAACACATACTCACTGGGTTTTAAGAAACTGCACTTCTCTTTCTTTTTTTTTTTTTTTTTATTTTTCCACTTGGACTTGCCCCAGAACACACTTAAAGGATTTCTAAATATACCAAGGTTGATTGAGAAAGCATTTGAAAAGCAAGTCTAAGTTTTTAATTAGAGCTGTAGTGAAGAACTCACTTGAGGTTAAGGGAATAATGAAACACTCTGTGTCCCAGAAATGGCAGGTTTGTTGTTCTGGGGGTGCTTTTTAGACAAAAAAAAAAAAAAAAAAGCAGGTTTGACTGCACTTCTGATTTTTTTTACACTAAAAGGAATATATATTACAAAGATGGATTCCTTGAATAACATAAATAATGGTGAAGGAACCACTTTAGTGGAAAGGTCCTAAACATCTTCCAACCAGATGGGAATGTTCTCTAAGTTATTATAGAGGAGTTTGTAACAGAATATAACCAGTTTATGTCTAACAACTTAGAACTGTATCACAGTAATTGCTTAATTAATCAAAGGCTTTGCTGGAGGTGAAAGTTTCCTGCCAGCAGTTCCCACACATCAACACCATAAAGCGCGTAAGGACTCACATTCCCAGGGTAAGAAAGTTTCCCAACAGATTTACACACTGTCAACATATTTCTCCTACTCCTAAAAGGGAAAAAAAAAAAAAAAAAGAGGCCGAAAATCCCTACCCATCAAAGTGATCAGCTTGTTCTTGAGCTGAGTGTCCAGCCTGGCGATCATCATCTCCACGGCGTTGCGGATCTCCCGCACGCGCTCGTCCTTGGCGCTGCGCACGGCCTCCACGTTCCTCTCCTGCCACAGGGGCGGGGAAATCAGCCACAAAAAACATCCACAAACACCTTGACTCCCCTCTCTGACATCCCAGAAATCCCTAAGTTTCTCCACCACCACCACCCCAGCCCCATGGAAATGAGAAGTAAATTTGAAAACCACGGGCCCGTTGTTTTCAGGGAGCTGCATTCCAGGATATTCCCAGTCTGGCTGGGATTTCACTGGATCCAGCAGCGTGCCCTCTGGTGGGTGGCCAAAGGTTAACAGGGAAGCTGAGAAAAGTTTTCTCGTTACGCAGGGATTTGTCAGGTGGGGATTCTTTACGTCAAAATTTGAAAGTGCTGCCAGAGGTTTCTCTGCCGGAACTTTTGAACAGCACAGAAAAGTTCTTTGTGGGACAAGAGCTCCTCCCTCCTGGCAGGTGAAGGCCACAAACTTCTCAGTGTTTTACAAGCACAAGTGGCGATGAAACAGTCACATCAGAGCTGGAGAAGAGCTCACCCACCACTGCACGTGGCAGACAACGACCTGAACAGCCCAGGCAAAAATCACGCAGAAAATTGTTAAAAACCCCCTGATTTTTATTTGCACAAAGAGCACACACTGTAAATACGTCAGCATTCAGCAGAATATAAAAATAAGCCTTCCTGGGATATAAGAAACTGCACTGAATTTGTGGAATTCCCACTGAAACTGTCAAAGCTGAATGTGCTGATATTTGGATGTCAGACACATTCACCCCACAGGGAAGGCACACAAACAAATCTCTGACTGGTGAGCTGCTCTACAGCCCATCCTGGAGCCTCAAATATGCTTCCAGTTTATTATTCTGAAGCAAGGAAAATAAGCTCTGTTAGAATAAAGCATTTTTATACCTGTTCAGCATGGCAGACTGCACTTGTGTAGGTGTAAGAACTGGGCAACTTCAGCTTGTAAACAGCACAGTCCCAAAGAAAAACCCCCTGTTACCAACTCTAGCAACTACAAAATATTCTCAGTTCTGGTTTTGACCTTTCCACATTGCATAAGAAGAGCATAACTAACCAGTAAAAACATCTCCCTATGGGATAATCTCACAACTTTCATGGAAGTGGCAGCTTTTCAGAGGTACAGAAACCACCACGAACACGACACGGTGTGTTAACTATTTCCACATCTCACTTTCCAGCTGCCCTTTGCCAAGGGGGTAGCACAGGTTGACTTCCTTACCACTTCTTGCACCAAACTGATGAGTTCCATCAGTCTCCTGCGGAGCTTTGCCACCTCCTCGTTCACTTTGGTGACGTGCTGCTCGTAGATTTCTGCCAGTGGCTTAAAAGTGTGGCCTCCATGCTGTGCAAAGAGAAAAAGAGGGAGGAGGAGGAGGAGGTGGTGAATAATAGAGCATCTTTTTCATTTCATTTCATTCCACTCCTATTAAATTCCTGAAAGAGAGGGGAAGGAAGCCTCTGAGTGTATCACTCCTCCTGGAAAAGTTCCATAGCAGATTGTACGTAGGAAGTCTTGTCTTTCGCTTCCCTCCTTAAGAAGCCATGAATTTGGCTTTCATTCCATCAAAGCTTCCTGTCAAGAGTTATTCTGGAGTCTCAACAGTCCTCCAAAAATAAACTGCTTCATTCACTGTGCAACCCTCTAACAAATCAAATAACGGTTGAAGTTTTATTTTTATTTATTAAAACACCCTTCCCAAACAAAGGCTGCTCTGTTAACCACTTGTATTCCAAACAGGAACAGCTGCTTCTCCTTGAAATGCTGATGGGAAAAAAACAGCTGGGCTACAGCTTTGAAGATATTCAGGATTACAGGCCAGGACATTTAAATAATGTGTTATCTGTATTTTCTCAGCAGGACTTCTTCCTTTGCCCGTAAAACTCTCACCCCCACACAGAATTTGTGGAAGGTGATTCTGAGCTCCTTCTGGCAAAAATTCCATTTCCTTCATAATTATGAACAGGAAGTATCTGGTTTCCCAGCCAGTGTTATTACATTATAAATAACACACACAACTGCAGTATTTTCATGGCAATCCAACAGCCACAACAACAGTTCCACAGCATTTGTAGTTCTCCAAAGCCGCTGCCAGAGCTTGCAGCCTCTCAGAGTGTAAATATAAACAAGTCTCCTCTCACCATTCCTCCCCAAAGGGCACACTGGTGGCAGATGCACTTCTTGCAGGTCCAGCAGAACACACTGAGCTTCTCATGGTGATTTTCACACCTTAAACAGAACAAAAAAAAAAATACACTTTTCATCAGAAAACAGCTGTGAATTTTCTACAAACCCAATTTAACATTTTCACTTGTTCTGAGTAAGGCACAAAACACCTTTTGCAAGAAGGACACTTGTACTGAGTAAAAACCTTTTGTAAAATGAATGTGGCTTTTAGTATTCTCTCAGGAAGCACTTCACAGAGACAGAAAGTACATTAC